CCCTTTTCTTTGAAAGGCTTTTTAAGAGTACAGAGAGTCATATCAAACCAAGTTGTTAGTCATGTAACATTAAACATAAGATTTTCCTGGGTGTTTAGTTCATGCTTAATATTGATAATTATTTCTGATAAACTTAAATTGGTCTTCCTGTTATATACTTTATACTTGAAATGTTCAATTTCACCAGCTTTGTATTTTGCTGTTTGAGGTAATTACTGAGCTTATTAAAAATAGTACAATAGACTAGATACATTGTTTAACTGAAGTCAAGGGAAAAGCTACCCCTACTGGAACACTAACTAGGATGCACTGGGGGGAGATCTCAGTAAGAAACTAAAGTGAGATGCAAGCCCTCTCTCTCTTCACCATTATCAGTCACGGCCTCCCAGGGCAGAACACGCAGGACCACAGTTGGGGAAGGTGTTTTGCCCCCAGGCCTTCATGGAATTTAGAATCTAAAGTCCTTGTAGGATCTATGCTTTTGACATTAGGACTCTCCATGAGTCCATGGAATCAGTGTGCTTGCAGCAGGGGCTACAGTGAAGGGTCCCATGACAGGGAGGTTATTGTCCTTGACAGAGAAAAGCCCAGGGCTAAAGGAGAGGCTGAGGGACTTAGGAAGAGGCCAGGCCTGATCCACATAAACTGGGGTACCCTGGGGGGTAGGCTATATTAAGGATGCTGCTATACTATGAGCAGGGTAAGTCAGGGGCTGAGATAAGAATCAGCATTGTGGTTGCTGGCACAGTCTTTCCACTGGCAGCAATTAATGAAGTAGTACCTGGTTTATTCATCAGTCTCTTCTGAGTCTGGTTGCCTTGAATCAGTCCTCAATATGTGGATCAGACCCTGAAACCCAGGGACCTGTCCAAGGATATTTAGCTTCCTATGCATTTATTGCTAATTTATCTTCTCTATCATTTATGATCCTCATTTTGGCTTCAGCACTTGTAGACACCTAGAGACACAGCCATAGCCACAGACTCATGATGTATTGCAATTTAATACTGGGGAAGGTACCCTAATACCACATTTTATCTACTATTACTATATGGGGTTCCCAATAATGCCTTTTGGAAGTCTGTGAGCTTTTGTCAAAAGTAAAACAAAATTTGAGTCTGTCCTTGCAACTAAAAATAAACTTAGGCTAGTGTCCAAGGGACAGGGAAGAGTAAGTACTGGAGGAAAACCCCTAATCTTGCCTCCACTCAATCCATCTCTTGTAGCCAGAGAGAGTGTTCTAAAAGTCAGGCCTCACCAGGCCACTCTCCTGCTTAACACTCTTCCGTTCAGAGTCCACCCTCTCACGTGGTCCACGAAGCCCTGCGGAGACTGCTCCCAGGCTACCCTTTCAGCTTCAGGTCTTGTCTGCCCATCCTCCTCCCCCTTGAATTTTGCCCGTGAGCCTCTTCACTGTGCCTTGCTTTTGCTTGGGTCTGGGCCTTTGCACATATTGTTCCCTCTGCTTGGAACACTCTTCCACCCACCCTGACCATCTCTTTGCCTAGATAACTGCTAACTGTTCATATTTCAAATCCCAGCTAAAATTATGACCCCACAGACCTGGTTAAATCCTTGCTGAAATCCCCGTACCACTGTGAACTACACTCAGGACATGCTGTTGTGTTTACTGGGTTCAGTACTTGCTCTCCAGGGCCATGGTGGCAGGGGCTCTATCTGCCTTACTAACCACTGGCTCTAGTGTTCCTTTTTTAAAAATTGTTTTTAGTTTAGCTTTTAGTTTTATTAAAGTTATCAGTGCACATGTTTGAGAGAATCAAGTAATTCTACAAGGCCTAAAACCCCCACTACATTTCCTGCCTCCAGAGGGAACACTTTGAACTTTTAATTGCTTTTGCATTTATCTTTATATTTTTAATGAACATGCATACACTGCTACCTCCTGGTTTTTCAGTTTTAAGCATCTACTGAGCTCCCACAACGGATGATGAGTATTTAGGTCTCTTGTACATACTCCCCTTCTCCCTATCACACGTGCGCACATCCTGGACTCCATCCTTCCCAGTATGGTCACATACTTTTAGGTGGGTCAGTATTCATTGTTTACATTATTACAGTTATGCAAATATTATTCACAGTTGAGCCATGTGATTTACCATACTTATTTTTTTCTATAGATCATTTTATTTTCCCTGTATCTAGTATCTATGAATATTTACTTAGTTTCCTATGCATTTATCACTAATCTTAAAACTCCCCAACCTATGTATCTTTATTTGCTGTATATGAAGCATTTTCTTAATTTCATCTTGAAGAAGTATCTAGAAGCCTCTGGCTGCTCCAATCTGGGCTGGTTGACTCCCCATCCTGCTGCACAGGGGCCTCTTCCCCCTTCACCCAAGGAATACTTATCACCTCTCTATAGGCTGCATCCACCCTTTCTGGGATTCTCTGTCCTCTGCTTCCTTGATTTAAATCCTTGTTTTGGTGATGTCCTCCTCCAGCAGCCTGCTAAGAAAGAGACAGAGGCTCTTTGCATATAGAGTCTTCCATCAGTTCTCATACTTGATTGATACTACAGCTGGAACCAGGCTTCTGTGTGGGATGACTTTTCCTCAGAATGTGGAAGGGTTTGCTTTATTCTCTTGTAGCTCCCAAAGCTGCTGTAGAAAAGTCTGATGCCTTTCTGATTCCTGACCCTTTATAATGTAATCTGCTCTGTTCCTCCTGGAATCTCAAGGATCTTCTCTTTGCCCCAGTGGTCTGATGTGCCTTGGTGCCCATCCACGTCCACTCACTATGCTGGACACTGATGGATCCTTTAAGTCCAAAATTCATGTTCTTCGGTTCTGGGAAATGTTACTGAATTATTATGTCTTTCTCCATTCTCTCTCTTCTAACTTTATGGAAGTCTCATTCTATTTTTCTCTTGGACTATAGCTCTAACTTCCTTTTTTCTTCTTTTCTATCTTTTTGTCTTTTGGCTCTATTTCCTGTGATATTTTCTTTTCTTTAACTCTTTTTTTTCTTTCATATTACTTAATATCCAGGGAGAGACACACACACACACACACACACACACACACACACACACACTTTTCAGTATGGCACCCCTGACCTCAGCTGTGCCTGGTGACCCACCTGAGACCTTCTGTTTTACCTCCTGCAGAGACTAGTACTCCAGTCTTGCAGGATGAGCATGAGAGGGGATTCAGGGATCCAATTGCTTTTTCAAAAGACTCTCAATTGACCTTGTCTTTTTATTCCTGCCTCTACCACCCCTTCTAGGTGTGCTGGTGTTGCCCATTGCAGAGCCTTTTGTTCTGCGATGGACCTGAGTTGCATTTCAGCCTTTCCCTGTGCCAGCTGAGGGTTTGGCTTTCTTGGATTTGCTAAATTAGTTACCACTTGCCCATTTGCTTTTCTGCTTCCAACATTTCGTTGCTATTGTCTCCTTTCCCATTCCTTATCCCAATGATTTTATGCTCTTAAAAAAAAAAAAAAATCCCTGTAATCGTCATTTCACTGGGATTTGGGGAAAGAGCAGCAGCCAGAGCCTATATCCAGTGATTCAACTTGGTATCTCTAACTGTCAGTCTCCAGTCCCTAGCATATTGCTTAGCACACAACAAGTGCCGAATATTTGTCGGTTGACTAGAGTATTAATTAGAGGCACCGAGTTTCCCATTTTTGGTAACCAAAAGATGAGAACCCTTTTGGTATTTACTGCTTAGCTTGGAGTTCACAAACCCATCTGGGTTGTATACTAGGCAACATTGTGTAGTGAAGGAAGTTGGAACCTGGGCTCTGCCCAGCAATTAATTGCATGGCCTTGGACAAGCTACTACAGCGCTGTGGAGTCTTAGTCCTTTCTTCTGTAAAATGGGAACAATAATACCTCTGTATAGTGCCTTGCTCAGTGCCTGGAGCATGGGAGGCTCCTGTCACATCTGTGGTGTGTAGAGTTCAACACCAAAGTGATAATTCTTAGAAAGTCAGTGTTTTACTTAAGCCTTCACACTTGAATCTCAAATTGGTCCCTAATTAATGCCCTTCAGCGCAAAAGTCTGTTTTCAACTTGACTTGATGTTTAGACAGAGATCGTAAAACCTTTTCGGCTAAGAGAGGGTCACCAAGGGTCTAGTGTGTGCTAGCGCCCCTCCCCGTTCCGGCCAGTGTATCCAGAACTTACACTGTAGTTATTCACAAATATTTACCGTGTCTGTCTTGTAGACCCGCACTAAGCGACCCCCATTCACCCCGACTCCTCACCCCTGCTGCGCTCGGACCCTGGCCTTAGAGGCGCCCAGTGTGGGAGCCCAGACACTTAGTCCCGTCTTGTGAGCCAAGAAGTCCGAGTCAGGACCACCCTGGGCCACGCACTGTTCCCAGCAGCCAAATCGTGCAGCGCATCCTCGCCTTCACTGGGGAGGCCCCCGGGCTACTGCGGAGAACCCCGCATCCTCCAGAGGAAAAACTGAAGCAGCTCCCTGGGACAGCAAATCCTTGCCCCTGGGTCCCCCTCCACCCTCCCCCTCAGCTCTAGTTCCTGCGGGTCCCCACAACCCGTCTTCCTGTACCTTCACCCTAGCACTCCAGAATCGTCAGGCGCGGAGCCGCGGCCCCCACCCCGCGCACAGGCAGGTGAGGGCGGGGCCTAAGGACGCCCCGCCCCCGCCCGCCCCGCCCCCTGAGGGCAGCGGCGCGAGGCCGCCACCTCCGCCCCTCCGGAGCCTAGGAGCGCCGCCGAGCGGCCGGCGAGCGGGCATTCGCTCCGCCCCCTCCCATCCCGCCGCGCCGGCTCCCGCCTCCTTTCCTCTCTGCCCGCTCCCGCCTCCTTTCCTTTCCGCTGCCGAGGCGGCGGGAGCCGAGCCCGAGCGGACCGAGCCGCGGCCGCAGCCGGCGGCGGGCGCAGAGGAGGAGGAGGCGGCGGGGCGGGCCGTAGGCGGTCAGTCAAGCGGCGGCGGCGATGCGGCGGCCCCGCTGAGCCCACCACCTCCGGGCGCCGGGGGCCGGCCGCGCGAGGCGGCCCGGGCCGGGCGGCAGCATGCGGAGCGGCGAGGAGCTGGACGGCTTCGAGGGCGAGGCCTCGAGCACCTCCATGATCTCGGGCGCCAGCAGCCCGTACCAGCCCACCACTGAGCCGGTGAGCCAGCGCCGCGGGCTGGCCGGCCTGCGCTGCGACCCCGACTACCTGCGCGGCGCTTTCGGCAGCCTCAAGGTCGCCCAAGTGGTAGGTGCCGGGCGGGGCCCCAGGTAACGGCGGGCGGCCTAGCCGCGCGGCTTCTCCCCCTGCTCTGCTCCCGGGGCGCAGGCCCGGCTGGCCTCGGCTGCGCATCCGCTTCGCGGGGCCAGACCCCTGCTCCACGCGCCCCCTCTCCCTACCGGGGTCCCAGGGCTGCCCTCCCCATTCCCGTGGGAACTCTGCCCTGCCGCCTCAGGTGTGCGCCTCCTACCTGAACACCTGCCTCCGGGCCTACCTGTCTATTCCCGCCTCCGCTGTCTCGGGCTTGGTGATCCGCGGAGCCCGCTTGGGGGTTATGCTGTCCCCTGGGTACTACTGGTCATAGCAACTTGTGACAGGTTTTCGGGCCCGCACAACCTCCACCCCTCCTGATGGTCCTTTTCGGTCTGCTTCCACCACTGGGTACTGTGGCTTGGTTTCCTCCCTGGCTCCTGGCAGCGCCGGGCATATGATATAGCCGTTCAATAAATGTTTGTTGAATGGGCCAGGTAGCCTAGATGCAGTGGGGAAGCCCCGATATGCCCACAAAAATCTCCAGTTTACACAGCAGAGGTTTGATTCCTTAATTAACCTAGGCACAACCGGCATCCCTGACTCCTCCGCCCCAGCACGGTGGCTGCCTTTGCCCAATTGGTACCCAGAGTTAAATCACTCTGGGAGGGCAGCCAGTTTGGGAAGTAACAGAAACAGAGAACTTTCTGTTGGACTTGCCTATGGTAGAGCTCATTTCTCAGAATTTTTATTTTTAGCTTCCAGGGTGTTCAAGGCAGGGGCCTGTCAGCTCAGCCCCTCTTTTGTGGTTTTGAAGCAGGCCTCTCTGGGCAGTTCTGTAGCTCTGTTGTGGACAAGACATGCTCCAGTTCAGAAAAAACTGTCCCAATATTCCCTGTCACAGGTAGGCCTTCCTCGGAGGCCAGGCAGCAGAACTTTACAGACTCCTCAGCCAGAGAAGCCATTTGCACAGAGCTGTAATGTATGTGCATTTTGTTTCTTCCAAGCATTGGGCTTCTTGTGCTGACTTGAGTAGGTAGATAAGCGTGCCTTGGGAATAACGTCATTTGGGGACACCTTTTAAATAAAGGTCTCAGTGTTTGTAAATTGCAGGGTCACAGACTGTTTTATCTCTCCTGGGCAAAATGCTTGTTCTGCTGATTGCTGGAGGGTATTTTTGAAGGGCTCTAAGGAAAGACAAAAGCAGTAGGTTATCCCTTTCCAGAATTTTACACTGACCTGTTCCGGTAAGCTGGAGTGCTCTGAGATATGTTGGTTCTGTAGTTATGCATTGCTGTTAGCAAAGAGAATGGAGGAGGTGGGGGAGGTGTGTGACTGACTGTCTTTTAAAAGAGGCAGCTAGCCAATATTTGAGTACAGCACAGATAATCAGAAGTGAGTAAGAGAGCAGGGCGGCAACTTGGGTCCAGGTAGAATATAGGGCCTTGTTAAGCACCTTTGTTTCCTCTGTGGATTTTTGAAAGTAAATAGAACTTGCCACTCAAAAGAGCTGGGAAAAGAATTGGAAGCCAGTAGTTTGTATAAAATGTTATTCAGCAATTATCACCTCATTGCTAGAACTTTGTTACCTAAGGCTAGAAATGGAAGCCAGTGGTATGGTAAGGTATTATTTTGGTGTAGAGCTTTCCTTATCATCTGGAAGGACTTTGGGGCCCAGCCCCTAAAATCTCACCTAACTCTGCCATTTGTCTAATCTCTAGAATTTAAATAGAGAGAGGTTATGTGGAGGTGAGTGAAGAATGGGAGGGAACCTGCTTGAAAGGTATGGCAACTTGAAACAGTCTTCCATGTACTGGGATTCTTAGCCTTGATAAAAATCAGGGTTTTCAGGGGAAAAAGCCCCCACAAAAGTCCAAGAAATTGGAATCTAAATTTAAACTGGAAAGGAAAAGAAGTTGCTATGAAGATATTTCTAAGATGTTACAAGGCTCAGAATTTCATCAAGAAATATGGATAAATTCTAATTGTGGTTTTTGAGAGAAGTTTGACTTTTCATTTTAGCTTTTATAGACATTTCTTTGTGGCCTGTGGCCCATCACAACCCGTAGATCCTTGCTACTCTATGTGTGATTAGCGGTATCTCCAGCACTGGAAGGCTTCTCAGGAATGCAGAATCAGAGAGGCCTTCCCCCCAGATTTTCTGAATCATAATCTGCATTTTCACAAGGTTTTTCCAGGTGATTTGTATGCACATTAAAGTTTGTCTTAATATTGTTGGATTAAAACCTCATACAGGTGCAGGCAATCAGTTCTCTATCAGAAGCATTAATAGTCAACCTCAAGGCTGAGATTTTTCTGTGAAATGATTGTATACCTCCCTCAAAGGATTAAGAGAATGAAGTAAGGTAATATATAGAAATTAGCACCAAGATCACTAGGTGCTTAGTTAGTATAGTTAGTATGTAAGAAACACTTGCTACCAGCCCTGGCTGGTGTGGTTCAGTGGATTGAGTGTTGGGCTGCAATCCAAAGAGTCACTGGTTTGATTCCTAGTCAGGGCACATGCCTGGGTTGCGGGCCAGGTCCCCAGTGGGGAACGCATAAGAGGGAACCATACGTAAATGTTTCTCTCTCTCTTTCTCCCTCCCCTCCCCTCTCTCTAAAAATAAATACATTAGAAAAAAAATTACCTATCGTTATTGCTAGTTAATATTTCCTGTCTTTAAAGAAACTTGGTGAAAATGCCAACCCCAAATTATAATTGTATATTTGAATTAAAGATAGCTCAGTTCCTAGCGATTTAAAAGTAAAATTGATATTTTAAATGGAATGTTATTTAATAGTAAAAGTAATCTGAAAATTAATCAGGGCATTTTCATTGAATATATCTTTTAAAAATTAACTCATACCTATCTTTTAGTTGGGGAGAATGTCTCTTGTGGTTATATCAAACAGTAAAGATGTACTTTTGTGGAAAAAGAGTTGGTTTAAACTATTGATTTAAATTACCTTCTTCCTTATGAGTGTGGATTCTGTGAAAGCTAATTGGTTTTTACTCCCAGACATTATTTAATGAAATAGTTAACGTAGGTCTTGGGCTTATTTTTTCCCCCATCACCTTTGTTGAAAGCAGAATTTTGTTCTTGGGAGGGGGGTAGAGGGAAGGGCATACTGTCACACATGCTATGATGTAATGCCAGTGTCAGAAGAGGACAGGCCCTGGATTGAAAAACAGTAACAGGTATCATTTATTGAATGCTTACTCTACAGTTGTCATCCCCATTTTATGGATGACAAAATTGAGGCACACAGGTTGTGAGTTGTTCAAGGCCACGTGGCTCATGTGCCAAGGTAGAGCTAGGATTTGAATGTAGGAAGCCTGGTTTCAGAATGTGCTCTTTACCACCTCTCAAACACATCATTTTGAGTTGTTTGACATAGTTGAGCAGGAGACCTTGAGTCCAAGGACACTTCTGTGGTCTTTGGGCAGCCTGGTGACCTTTACGGTGACTTTTTCGTGCTTAAGAAAAGACTACAAGGGTTTCGATTTCCTGGTGTGCAGTGCGCTCTTCCCAGGTGTGCATTTTTGTGTGGTGTCCTGCTCCTTACCCAACAACCTGCCTGCTTCCTGCAATGAGAGGATGAGCCTTCTCAAAAGTGCTGAGAGGAGAATGGGCATTTAAGTTCTGAAAGTCCCCTCAGGGAACTCTTGCTTCAGATCCCTTTCTTGAGCCCCTCCCATACCTGATTGACCTTCTGACAGTGCATTGCATTTGTGTACGACTTTTTCTAACAAAGCTGGGTAATAGGAGATGTTAAAATTCAAATTTTAGCTCTGTTGATCTTGAAATCTCTTAACCGTGTTGTGTCTTGACTTCCTCAGTAAGTAGCATGTGGGTGAATGACTGACAGCATTTTAGGAATTGTAGTTAGGAAAAGTGGTTAATGTTTGATAGGTACTCTCCTAGGTAACTCAAAGACAAATGTGAGTATTTGCATTTCAGAGTGAGATAATAATATATATTTTATTTGGTAGAAACCGTGTCTGTTTTTCATCCAAAGCCAGTCAGCATAGTCCCTCACAAATCCTACTCTCTGGGGGATGTGCTGGGGCAGGGGAGGGTCGTGCAGATGATGGTGGTAAAGTAGTGGGTTTTACTGCATTGTATTCTCAGAGCTACAGTGGCTCCTTGTAAAACAATCTCATTTTTCCTTAGGAAGATTGTTATCTTTGGAAGTTGTCTTTCTGATCAAGGACTTGCAATCAAAGTCTATCAGGAAAGCAAAGATAAAACTATTTTTAAGGTTTCATGATGATTAAAAATAGTAAAATTATCATCCAAGACCTCAGAAAAGCATATAGGATACACATCTGTTTTATAAAACCAGAATAAGACAGTTCAAGAAAAGAACACTACAAACCAATTGTCGCCATGAACATGGACACAGAAATCTTCAACAAAATATTAGGAAATCAAATCCAGCAACATTATGTAAAAAGAATAGTACACCACATCCATTGTGATTTATCCCAGGAACAAAAAGCTGTTCTACTTTTCCAAAATCAATAGATGTATTCCACCATATGAATAGCTTAACAAAACCCGCACAATTATGTCAATGGGTGCATAAAAAACATTTGACAGAATTCAACATTCCCTCATGATAAATACTATCAGCAAACCAGTAAGAGAAGGGAACTTTCTCAACCTGAAAAGGGGCATCTACCAAAAATCTACAGCTAATATACATAGTGCAGTTAACATAGTGGTGGAAGAGTGAATACTTTCCCCAAGATAGGGAACAAGAAAATGACATCTGCTCTCACCACTGTATTCACCATCCTACTGGAAGTGCTAACCAATGCAAGAAAAATAAATAGAAGGCATACAGATTGAAAAGAAGGAACAACTGTCCCTATTTGCAGATGGCATGATTGTCTATGTAGACAACCCCATGGCAATCTATAAAAAAGCTCCTGGGACCAATAAGAGAGTTAGCAAGATTGTAGGCTGCAAGGGCAACACACAAAAATC